GCATTTTATAGAAACTTTAACTACAGTTCCGGTACTGCTCAGTCTTATTGAAGATACCTTGGGGAACATAATGATTTTTCCTGTTTACTCATAAAAGTCCTGAATTCATTTCCTGCATATTGTTCTACCAACACACCTTTTTCATAGATTTCCCCACTTACTGTATTGTTTTTTATATTATTCTTCACTGCTTTGTCTTGAGGGCCATTCTAATGGCAACACTGCATTAATTCCATCGCTTGGTTAAAATAGAGGTGAAAGAACATGTGGCAGAGACCTCAGGGTGTTCAGGCAAAGTGATCAGGCTGTATTCTGGGGTTATTTGTGGGTGGGTGATGAATTATCTCCTTCGTCTTCATCTTCCTCTTCATTCCTGGGACTGGATCTCGAGTTTCTCTGTAATCAGTAATGCAAGATCTGAGTTCTCACACATCATTGCTCCTCTTCTAGAGCACATTTATTTTCAGTCCCCTCCTGCATGATAGTATAGGCTGTGCATATCAGCCTTCCTTCTGCATCTAGTAAACTTTAAACTATTGGACTGGCTAGTAGGAATGAGAGAATTTTTCTCTAAAGCAATACATCTGAGAAATGTGATATTGCCCAGATGAGGGAAAAAGTCTTGATAAGGAACCTCCCATTAAAAAGTCTGCCTAGTTGGCCTCTTTGATATAGAAGAACAAGTTATTTTGACTATATTTAATTTGTGATTGTGTGTGTACATGAACCAAATCAGATGGCATGGAAAGGAATAGTTACTTTTTGAAGAGTTTATAATCTGTGAGTTGCATCTTTTTACAGCAGGTCAGTGCAAGTTTTGATCAACTCGGCCTAAAGAAGAGCTCTTAGCTTAGTCACTCTCTGCTTCCTTCCCCAGATCTGAAGGAAGAATTCTGTGTTGCTCACAAGAATGTATCTTCCAACAGAAGTTGGTCCAATAAAAGAAATTGCCTCTCTTACCTTGTATGTTTCATAATAGTAGAAATCTGTTTGTTTAAAAGTTGAGGAATAAAATGCAAATTATTTTATATGATTTGCATTTACTTTGTGGTGTTTCATATGATAGTGAGCATCCATAAAATTAAATTTTAAATACTTGCATTAAAATATGTATTTCAAAACATCATAAAAGCATAGTAATTCAGTAATTAACATGGTTGATAATGACAGACTTTCAATTCAAACTCTCTGTATACAACCGTTCACTGGGTTTTGCTGCTTTTCTCAGTTTTGTTTTAGGGACATTTACAGTCAAGGCATCCAACTGAACAGAAACCAGGCTTTATTTCATAATCCGGACACAAGTGAGTATTCCCAACACTTTGTAGCTGAAACAAGAGTCTATAATGTGTACAAAACTTTTGTTGCACACTTAATTACAAGGTATAGCTGCCATTGAAAGTTTTAATGAAGGCAGCATTCACATATTTGGATGATCATCCAGCTCCCTATGAAGTTTAAATTGGAATGAGAATCATGATGTTTACCAAACTATACATATCCCTAAAGAAATGTGTAATTTGCTAGGATTTTAAAACACATTTGCTTCACATTAACAAGAACCTACATAATAGTATGGATGTTTGTTATGGGTTGAGGAGAGAGAGTGGTGTTTACTTCCTATATAAACATTGCTGGAGATATTTTCATATCCTCAATTAAGTAAATGGGATAATTTGTTTTAATAATAACAGCTATGAAGATTACATTTGCTGGAAATAGTTTTAAAGGAATCATTAAAGATGTGAAAGCTTTCAGCAATGTTGATAAATTATTGAATGTTAATGTATATTGTAGATCATAGAAGCAAAGATTGAAATGCTTGAGGGAGACATTCTCCTGCCATGTTCATAAAATATACAGTGGCATGGCAGCAGTCTCTTTGCCAAGGTTAGGCTTGAAAAGGTATCAGAGAGAGCCACTGGAAGTTGTAGTTTATGGTTATTTATGTGGTTTGTGACAACAAATGACGGATAATTTGGACATATTTCTAAAATAAAGGAGCAGATATAGTTGTGCAAGTGTACCGTTGTAACTTAAGGCTTTGTGGATCAAAGCTGGCAATAAAGTACCATTTAGCTAACATTCCAAAAAAGAGAGAGATTTTTGTTAGGGCATGCTCTAATAGTCAGTGTTCTGTGTTCATCTTAGCTGGATAAATCTTCTAGAAAGCACCCAGTAGTTTAGCAATCTCAGGCTCTCTCTTCTCTTCCCACTCCAGTGCATCCTTTTTCCTACAGGAAATATTGTACATGGAGGTCATCGGTGTCCCTAATTAAAAACTTAATTGCTTTTGACATATTCTAGCCTTTCTGACAATGATCTTTCTTCCTTTCAAAGAAGAATTCATGAATGGAATGATCTGAAATATCTCCAAAATAACATTTAATTTACTTCTAGTTTGGTCTGCTTTTGTGTTGTCATTGACTGTCTTGTTACAGTCCTGTCAATTCAAGTGTCTTGTAACTTTGAAGAAAAATGTCCAAGGTTCATCAGCTGATATAAAGAGAGTAGTGAAAAAAGATATAAATGATAGTAATTCTGCTAACATCAAAATCCTTAGACGTTGAGTAGGCTTTTCATTGAAAGGATGAGTAAATAGAGATGCCTTAGAGCGGTTTAAGAGTCATTGAATGAAAAAGCATGGCTTTACTCTATTCTAATCCTATTAGTGTAGGTCTCCATTGAAACAAGTTTCTTCTATGGTTTAAAATTAAGGGGGCGGATTACAAAACACTCAGACATATTTCTGTCCGCTGTATATACTTCCAACCAAAAATGTCACAGATGAGCTAAGATTGAAACTATGTTTCTGTAACTTAAAGGCCAAAAATATTAAAGCCATACAAAACAAAACTTCACAAATTCTGTAAGTGAAAAGTTAAGCTTACAGCTAGAAGAAATGCAAACATGGTAATGTATAGAAATACACAATTAAAGCCCCCCTAGGGACCTAAACTTGGTGCAGTAGTGTGTGCAACAACTGTGTTGTTACAATTAAGGCATCCTACTAAATATGATCCCTGATTATATTAATCTGGGGCCACATCCAGTAAATGCCTTAATTGTAATTGTATGGCTATAGTAGACACTACAGCGCAGAGCTAAAGTTGTTATATATATTTCACCCTTGTGGCTGTTTGCAAGACATGCAAATAGATTTTTTTCTTTTTTTCCATCTAGATTCAGTTATTTTATTTTATGGAAAAAAAACCATATGTAATTCCATATACTGCTAATTTATTTTATATGCTAGTCCATTTCTTTGTCTATTTCTTAGTAATTGTTATTGTCACACGAGCAGACCAGGTGCCAGGTCTTGCCAATGCTGTAGCTATCCGCTAAGCACTGACAAATTTATACTGGGAATTAGGCCATCTTAATTTGTGTTAGTATTATTTAAGATGTTAGACTTGTAAGGATGTGGTTAGAGTCTAAAATACTTGTAAATTGCTGCATTAATCTTGTATGGAATGCCTATATACCATAAACTAAGGTGATATGTAAATTTTACTTTATAAATATAAAAATGCCTGCACTGAACTTGTGAACCTAAGCAGGAGGAGTGGTTCCACCACTTTTCAAGAAAAACAAGCCATTGTGGAACGTTACAATTCTAAGACTTTGTTCATGGCAATCTCACAGCCATGAAGGTACCATCCCATCATCTTGAATGCTGTAAGAAGGAAATAAAACAGAGGAATAAGAACATTTGTCATCCCTCTTCTGATGTTTTGACTGTCGCAGGGCTGGAGCTAGGAAACAAAATAGAAATTCGCAGGATCAACTTAGGTTAGCCCTAAAAGACATTTAGTGTTGACTGATTGCAATGGCTACCTTTTGGAACCATAGACTGTAACTCGTTTGTGTATGTATCTTGTCAGCTTTAACCTGTAAATTACTCTCATTTCATTTTCCTAGTTAATAAATCCTTAGTTGGTTTTGCTATAGGATTGGCTACAAGCATTGTCTTTCATGTGCTATCTTGGGAGTAAGTCTCTTGGTACTAGAAGCAATTTTTATCTTTACTGATTTTTAGAGTATGGCAATCAGCTATCATTGAGTCCATCTTGTCTGAATGGCAATATAGACTGGAGAGCCCCAGGGCACTATGTGACTCCATGGTAAGATTGTTAGTGTTTTAGGAGTTTCACATTTTTTTTATTAGATTGGTGAAATCTAATTATAGAAGATACGACCAGTTTGAGGTCTCTGCCCTGCTTTTTGATCAACTGCCATGTGGCAGGTATGCATAGTTATGAACCAATCCAAACAGCATGTTATACCCAGGGAATAAACTATATTCTTTGATTTATATAATTGTGTCTGGACACATTGCTATGTTTTTTCAAATATTTGTAGTTAACAAACTCATTTGTCCCCAATATAAAAAGGTTTCTGTGCTGTATCTCTGAACAGAGTTGTATTTATTAATTTTGTAACAATTCATTCGGATTAAAACTATATATTTTCATCATTATCAAATTAACCCACTTGATCCAGGACTCATTGGGCCCAGTTTTAAGATGATAATATACCACTAAATCACAATAGTCTATTTGTTGCTCTCGAGATACTTTAAAAACTACTGGCTTTAGTCCAATTCACCTTTTGTTTGTTTGTTCCACTGCACAATTGGAGTAGTTAATCAGATATCTGCCTAAGCTAAAATTCCTGTATTTAAAAATATCTTTAAAAATATATCACTGACCGGAAATTCCGCAAGGATAGTAGATCACATTTGTGTTTTCCTAGCAATCTACCATAAGATGAAAGTTCCAATAAATAGGGCAAAGAAGTGCTAGAAATTAGTGTAAAAGAAAATACTAAGATACAAGTGTGGAATTTCTGTAATTTACTATCTCTTCCCCATTTTTCTGTCCTCCTCCTTCCTGCCTGGTTTGATATCTTAAAAGAAAGTTGGAATATATTGATGTGCAATCTCATAAATTATGTCTACATTTAACAACAGTAATAATTCCTTAATAAGTTGTTTTTAAGTATAAAATTGTGCTGGATTCTGATGCACCAGATTATGGAGGACATCAGAGACTGGACCATAATACAGAATTCTTCACTGAAAAATATTCACATAATTATCGACCTAATTCTATTTTGGTAAGTAAATGTTTTCTTTCTATTTTAATTATGCAAACTTAATTCTGATGCAAGTTTGATGCATTTGGAGTCCAACAGCAAACAAACATAGACAAATTGGAATTCTTTTTTGGTTTTGTTTGATTTTTTTTTTGAGGAAGGATATTAATGGCTTCCAAAATCAGTATTTGCATGAAAGCAATACATTAAAGACGTTGGTGAGGAGTATGATTTGTTTTGACGTTAACACAAGTGATTTTCTCCTTGATGATTCACTTCAATTTGCTTACATCTTCGTAGGACAAAATTCTTCTGTTGAAATATTCTTTGCAGAAAAAGATGCATGGAACCTTTTTAATACACATTTGAGTTACCAGTTCAGTAATCATTCCTTTGCTTCTTTTTCATGTATGACTAACCTTGCCTGCATACCTTGCAATTAGAGCTATGTAAAAATTCCTTTGCTTTGTTGCTGTCCCACCACCACTACCACATCCCACCAATTTGGACTTGAGCAAATCATGTGTTTGTAAGTGACTTCTACTTCCATATCTGGCAGAAAAAACTATGCAACGTAGAATGGACATCATACATTCCTGTATAATGATTTGAGGAGGCTCCAGCTATAGTCTGCAATATACAGTAGACCAGGTCTGGGCAAGATGCAGAGCATAGACTGGAGCCAGCTCATCTAACACTTAGATCTGGCCTGCAGACTGGATCTGGCTTCTTTTTATCTCCTGCTGCTCATGCCACCCCATTTCCAGGTTGTAGGATCCTATTTCAATGGCTCACTATTGTGGCAGAGGCTAGAGCTGTGAGCCGTTTAAATAGACACAGAAACCTTGGGTGCCAGGCAACGGGGTAGCAGCGAAGCCATAAGCTTTCTGTTGTATTTTTAATTTGAAGCCTCCAGACCCAGACAGCTCTGGGAGGAGGCTTGTCCCAGCTCCACCCCTTATGCTTCAGGCCCCGCCTCTTCTGGGGCAGGACCTGGCCCATGGCACTATAACAAAATTCATTAAATGACCCCCCTGCAAAAATTATTGCCTGTCCCTGCGGTAGACAAATAGCATTCCACACATTGTCACAGTGAGTTATATATTGTAATTTCTTTGGACCAAAATCTTGTATACTACTTCTTTCAGAAACTACCTCTCACCACAGCAGACTTTTATTTTGAAAGCACAGTCATTAGCTATTTAGAAATGTAGAGAGTTTTTTCCATTTTGAGATTTTTGTTCCATCTACTAATGATGCATGATTGTGTGTATGATAGATTGTATGACCATTTTCTGCTTTTAGATGCCATATGTCTTAGCTAGGTTTCTACTGGATAAGTATCTACATCACAAAAAATTCAAACACAGCTGGCACTCTTGTTTGCAGTGTCAGTAGAAAGTAAGATTTGAAAAGGCCATGGATGATATTACACACACCCGGGGAAGTGAGCCATGCGGTACAAGCCTGAGCAACGCTGGTTTGTCAGCATGAGGAAGTTTGTACTATATCTCTCCATAGTTGATTTATATCATATCATATAGAGCAATAGATTACCCCCTGTTATGTGAATGCCAGTACTATTTCTGCTGTGCCATACCTCTTCTGAGGTTAAATGGAAGACTTCAGTTCCCAGGGCTTCCCCTCATCACCATTGTTTTTGAGCACTAAATAAATTTTTATAATTTTGTTTTTGTGGGACAGGTCAATTTTTTTTAACAGTTTTCATCATGAAAAAATTGTTTTGACTACATCATGTTCTTCATCCGGGGATCATGAAGACTTTTCTGAACATTTATTGAAATATTTAAGGCTCACACTACTCTTAAGGCACACCTAAGTATTTCTGTTGATTTTACGTATAGGGAAACTGAGGCACAAGGAAGTCATGATATTTCTCAAGGTTCCTTAACAATAGAGGACACCAAGAATGCTAGCTGCCAGACCTTTAGTCCCAACCCACTACCTTAAGCACTGGCAAAAATTAACTCTGCTACTAACTTGCCTATCATACTTACATGTGTTAGCCTTAACTTGGAATGTAAATACAATTTTTAATTCTTCTATGAGAAATATGGCAAATGGAAAGGCAGCAAAAGTCCAGATGTAAATGAAAAGATGGGACTTAATGAGAGCATGTGGAAGAAAAAGCATGTAAGATGTATGCCGGGAAGCAGTCAATGTTTTCGTTGAGAACAATCTGTGGCATGGCAATGGCACTTCTGTGTCAGTAAGAATCCCAAGAGTGGCCAGTCACCTTGCTTTTTTGTATCCCCCAGTGATCCAATTTACAGAGCAACTTTGATGGCAGCCTGGTAAGAAGCCACCAGTTGCAGGTAAAGTGCCAGTAAAAGGAAGCCAATTTTAGGAAAGGGACAAAAAGAAAACAAGGAAAATGTTATTACCAAAAATAGTTGAACTTGTTTACTAGCTGGAGCTTTCAATTGTTATTTTAAAATAAAGCCTTTGTAAATAGCAATATTCCAATCTTTGGATAAACATTCCTTTGTGGGGGATAGTATTACAAATTAGTTAACATTTTCAAAGTTAACTAGATGATTTTACCATAGAACTCTCTTGGCCACTTGAGAAGATGTGTGAGGGTTATAGGTTCCTCATCTCAAACATTTGAGTTCCTCTTCATTATAATAATAATTGACAGTAATAAAATATTATGGTGGTGCACAATCTGTACTGTGGTTAAGATTGTGTCTCTAAGGCTTTGTTTAAATGTGCAGCATTTTCATTTATAGCTGTTAACAGACTAAATATATAACTCTATAGTAATACTGTCCTTAAAATTTAAATCCAAATAAATGCAGAGTGTTAATTTTAAAGGAAAGATGATATATAGATTATAAGTCAATATAAAAATATGCTTGAACGAAGGAAATCTTCAAAAAGATGTTAGAAAATGAGCAGGGAGAAAGTGAGACCCAGGTGAAGGGGCTAGAAGGGATGAAGATAACATTCTGCAGTTTTTGATAATTCCAGTAAACTCTGAGTACAGATGGGATGATGGCATGTGAACCTAGACACCTGTTTATAAAGTCTTAAGGAGCAGGTTGGAGGGCTTCAAAACAAAAACAAAAACAAAAAAAATCCCCAGAGTTTTCCATTGTCAACTAATCTGAATAATACTGTCATCTGCTGATTTTGCCATCTCATTGCTCACTCCCATTTCCCATTAATTAAAAATACACATTAAACATTACTGATCCTAAACTGGAATCTTTACAGCATCACACGGTTAATCTTTTGCCATGATAAAATTAACCTTCTATTACTACTGTTTGTTTATTACTACTAGGCTTGCCAGATGCTTTCACCCAAAATCCCAAACATGGCAGGAAAAAAACTTGGTTGAGCAAAAAAAGAAAAAAAAAACCCACCTGAGATACTACAGTTGTTGAGGGAAAGAAAAAAAAAAGCGAGAATCAAAAAAAGGTCACTGCGGCTTTAAGACTCCCAATGCTTTTCGCTTCTCCCCGCCAGATGTGTCAGGGGAACCATGCCCCCACCAGCCTTCTATCCAAGTAAAACAGAAAATATGTCTGGTATTTTCTGTTTTCTTTTTGTTTGTTTTTTTGTTTAACCCGGACAGTGGCCAGAAATAACGGACTGTCTGGGCGAAAACCAGACACCTGGCAACCCTAATTACTACTGTCTTCTACTAGCCAGTTCCTATATGGGGCAATACTTGTCCCATGACAACTTTATCTAATAGCCTGTTGTGAGACACTTGGTTAAAGCCTGTTGAATGTCTAGGTGAATTCTGTTGGTTTTATGAGGAGTGGGGAGCTAACTAGAGCATTTGCTCACTATAACTGATGATATCCTACATATGGTTTTTACTTTTATGAGAGATACAGCTCAAAATTTTGTTGGGGAGGGTGGTGAACAGTTTTTGTATAAAATGCATTTTCCTGTCCAAGTTATTTATCATGTCAAGTCAAATTTGACAAATATTTTCAGTCCAATGAGAAGAATTTTTTTATTAGTTCTGGGGTTTGGATTTTTTTCAATTTTTCAGTCTGAAATATTTTTATTTGTTATTTTGAAACATTTCATTATGAAGTTTTGAGAGATTTGTTTTAAAAAATTGTAAAAGTAAAGAAAAGATCAAAAAATTAAACCGAAGAGAAAGAAATGTAGTTAAGAAAAAACGAAATTTCTTTAAAAAATTGTTTAATCCAAATCAAACAAAAATCTTATTTTTCAGTTAAGCCATTGAACTGAAAAATCAAAAGCAAGCTCTACAGCTAGTGCACCTTGCCTATAGAGGACAGATGGATAGAACCCTTAGCAGATACAAAATTGACCTCCATATCCACCTCTTCATCTGCAAAACCGATCTGTAGATATCCGCATTGACATCAGTGGATGCAGCAACCTGCGAATTTAAAGCAAATAGCCACAAATTAGCAGGGCTTTAAGTTACTTCATGGCAATGTGTATGTTTGTGACTTGGAGTTTTGAATGAAAAAAGTATAACATATATTCAAAAAGTATTCCAAATCATGCCTACCAAATATTTGATCTTTTATTCTATTTGACGTCACTGCCTTCAGGGCATATTACTTTTTAAAATGATATTTATGGATAAAATTAATAAAGGAAAAGTTAATCTTGCAGTTATTTAAGGGTTTTTTTGTATGGTAATAGCATTGACAGTTGTACTTACTGAAAATATACAACCATTATCTTTATAGTAATTTTGTTCTTCTCAGCTTCAGAGTATCAGCAGTGTTCACACAAAAAAATAGGTACAGTCTATTATAATCATAGGAATATAGATGTTGCAATATATATTTTACTGACATTTTTGTCTATGCTTATGTACTATATTATAATTTTCTCTGATTTAGTTGGCCTGAAGCTAAGATGCTCTTATAAGCCACTGGAAAAGTAGGTTGGAGTTTGTTAAAAATATAATTATATACCTATCAGTAAAATTAAAACTTAGCTTTAGCATTTTAGTTTTGTTGAATTAGATTGAAAAACTCACCTTTTTAATATAA